AGGGTAGGATGACGCTCCTTTGTACTCTACTCAAAATGGTACAGTCTGAGCCCAGCGAGGGCTTTCACTTCCTGTTTGGCAGTTTGGACCCATCAGACAGCAGCTAATAGACAGCAAATATTTTGTTACTTGAAGTTACTGTTGGTGGTTACTAGGTGTGAATGTGAGCGTGAATGGTTGTCTGTCTCTATGTGTCAGCCCTGTGATAGTCTGGTGACCTGTTCAGGGTGTACCCCGCCTTTCGCCCAGTGTCAGCTGGGATAGACACCTCTCCTACCAGACACACTGTATCAGCCCAGACTGTGTTTCACCCTGCTCCACTTCATTCACCCTCTTACACAGGAATGATGAAAGCTCCAGCTAAGTTGAGAGGTAAACACATCTGAATGTTCCTATCATTAAGCAATTGCTTTGAAATCTATCAACGTGTGTGTCTGGGTTGTCCGTTAAACCCAGACTCATCACTATTTAATGAAATTAAATTTACTTGCTTACTTGTTTTCACCCTTTATAAATGTGAAAAATACCAAAATGATTTCCCAATCAATTAGCAACAAAGCAACTTTCTCTGAAAATATAACGGTTTGGCTTCCTGAAATATTCAGAGAGAACTCCTGTTTCCAATCACTGCCGTAGTGCAGCAGGATTCAAAGCCTGATTGCAGTCGAGAGACTTGAAAATTAGCATTTGAAGATCAGCCCTCCAAATATGCACCCCCTTTTCAAAATCTCAAAAACCACCCACAGCAGTGACTGCTAGCTGCCACTGACCTGGGCGTGCAGGATTTTCAAAAGTCATCGGGAGCAGGGGACAGATGGTCCAAAGTGAGGGCTGTGAAACCACCAAGGGGCTGAAATGCCTTGGTGCCGATACCACTCTGTGCTAAACGGGTAGGAAAATTAGAAAACTGAAAAGTCTGTCTCTCTCCCTGTCTGCCTAACCCTGTGCCAGCTTATTTCATTTGGTGTAATATTGGAGCTCACATGCATCTCGTTATTGGAAAAGTCACCTTCAAAGCACACACACTCTGTCTCTCTCTCATTTCTGGGTTAAGACAATTCTGGTTCATTACAATATGGGTCTTACTGTCATAGTTTTGGCCATTGTTACTTTCTCCAAGCTCCACTTAAACAATATTCTAATGACCAAGTTAATTGCTTAGATCTGGGATCACGGTGGCATTGCTAAAATAATAAGTCAGAAAGGTCAAGGGACATGAGTATCAAACAATCATGCAGGTTTTGAACCAACATCAAAACCCAGATGATGATAAGCATCTGGGGGAAATGGCTAAAATATTTTGTGGGTTCCAGAGCTGTCACGACTTCCTCTTTTGTGTGCAGGTCATTGTTTACAGTTCAATTAGCAACTTGAGACAGGCTTAAACATCATTTAGGTGAATCTCTATAATCATATATCTATGTGTTTATCTGCACATAAAAGCAGATAAATAGAAAAATGCTAATAAAAAGCTTGATTATTGTCAGATAATAGCTGCTGGGTTCCAAGACTGCATTTCAGCTGATGCGTTGTGCCTCTTTTTCCCTTCACACTAACTGTTTACCTGCATGCTACCAAAACCTGCTCAGATGTAACTGATCAACACTACTCGGACCACAAACGTAAACTTGAATGCTTCTGTTACTAAAATCATGTCCAGCAGGTGTCTTCAGATTTTATATATATATATAGATATCTGTTTATACAGAGATAATAGTTTTAAACAAACCCCAGGATAAACAAACTGTGCATGCACACAGCTTCCTTGTACAATCAATCAATCAATCAATCAATCAATCAGTCAATCAATTTTATTTATAAAGCCCAATATCACAAATCACAATTTGCCTCACAGGGCTTTACAGCATACGACATCCCTCCCTTGGTTTATCTCTCCATCTAGCTCCGGAGAAGAAGCCGAGTTAGTGACATCCAGAATGGCCGAGTTAGCAAGATGCAGTAATAGAATATGAGAGAGAGAGAGAGAGAGAGAGAGAGAGAGAGAAGGAGAGAAGGAGAGAAGGTGCCCGGTGTATTATAGGGGGTCCTCCGGCAGACTAGGCCTAAGTCAGCCTAACTAGGGGCTGGTACAGGGGCAAGCCTGAGCCAGCCCTAACTATAAGCTTTATCAAAGAGGAAAGTCTTAAGTCTAGTCTTAAATGTGGAGACGGTGTCTGCCTCCCGGACCGTAACAGGAAGATGATTCCACAGGAGAGGAGCCTGATAGCTGAAGGCTCTGGCTCCTGATCTACTTTTGGAGACTTTAGGGACCACGAGTAACCCTGCATTCTCAGAGCGCAGTGTTCTGGTGGGATAATATGGCACTATGAGCTCTCTAAGATATGACGGAGCTTGACCATTTAGAGCTTTATAAGTTAACAGTAGGATTTTAAATTCAATTCTGGATTTTACAGGGAGCCAGTGCAGAGAAGCTAAAACAGGAGAAATATGATCTTGTTTCTTAGTTCCTGTTAGTACACGAGCTGCTGCATTCTGAATTAGCTGGAGAGTTTTTAAGGACTTACTAGAGCTACCTGATAATAGAGAGTTACAGTAATCCAGCCTAGAGGTAACAAAAGCGTGGACCAATTTTTCTGCATCTTTTCGGGTCAGGATAGGCCTAATTTTCGCAATATTACGCAGATGAAAAAATGCAGTCCGTGAGGTTTGTTTTAAATGAGAATTAAAAGACAAATCTTGATCAAATGTTACTCTGAGGTTTCTTACGGTAGTGCTAGAGGCCAGAGCAATGCCATCTAGAGAAACTATTTCATCAGATAAAGAGTCTCTGAGTTGTTTGGGGCCAAGAACAATAACTTCAGTTTTGTCTGAATTTAACATCAGGAAATTGGTGCTCATCCAAGTTTTTATGTCTTTAAGGCAGTTATGGAGTTTAGTTAATTGATTACTTTCTTCTGGCTTCATCGATAAATACAACTGTGTATCATCTGCATAACAATGGAAATTTATAGAATGATTTCTAATGATGTTACCTAAAGGAAGCATATATAGAGTAAATAGGATTGGTCCGAGCACAGAACCTTGCGGAACTCCAAAACAAACTTTGGTACATAAGGATGATTCATTATGAACGTCAACAAACTGAAAACGATCAGATAAATAAGATTTAAACCAGCTTAGTGCAGAACCTTTTAGGCCAATTAAGTGATCCAGTCTCTGCAGTAGAATTTGATGGTCAATAGTGTCAAACGCCGCACTAAGATCTAATAAAACAAGTACAGAGACAAGTCCTTTGTCTGAAGCAATCAGAAGGTCATTTGTAATTTTAACTAGTACTGTCTCAGTGCTATGATGCACTCTAAATCCTGACTGAAATTCCTCAAATAAATTATTATCATGGAGAAAATCACACAGCTGGTCTGCGACTACTTTCTCAAGGATCTTTGACATAAAGGGAAGATTAGATATTGGTCTATAGTTGGCTAACACCTCTGGATCCAGGGTGGGCTTTTTTAGTAGAGGTTTAATTACAGCTACCTTAAAAGACTGTGGTACATAGCCTGTTAATAAGGATATATTGATCATATCTAATATATGAGTGTTAACTAAAGGAAAGACCTCCTTAAGTAGCCTAGTGGGGATGGGGTCTAAGAGACACGTTGATGATTTAGATGAAGAAATCACTGCAGTCAATTCTTGAAGAGAAATTGGGGAGAAGCAATCTAAATATATATTAGGTCTTACAGCTGTGTTTGAGGTTAGATAGGTACTATCTGAGGACAGGAGGTCATGAATTTTGCCTCTAATAGTAAGAATTTTGTCATTAAAAAAACTCATAAAATCATTACTGCTAAGGGCTAAAGGAATACAAGGCTCAATAGAGCTTTGACTCTCAGTCAGCCTGGCTACAGTGCTGAAAAGAAACCTGGGGTTGTTCTTATTGTCTTCTATTAATGCTGAGTAATAGTTTGCTCTGGCATTGCGGAGGCCCCTCTTATAAGTTTTGAGACTGTCTGTCCAGATTAAACAAGATTCTTCCAGTTTGGTTAATCGCCAATTCCTTTCAATGTCAGTGACAATCCGCATTGTCACTGACATTTCAGGTGCACTCTCTTTCATTTTTACCTCCTACTAAAGCATGCGTTTCGTTAACCAAACTCTTGGCTTGTTTACAACCTGTCTAAATGTCTAACTGTTTATTTCCCTACTGTCTTTGTCGTAGCATGTTTCCAAATTTCAGTAATTACTTTTTGAGTGCTCTGTTAACTGAGAGAAATGATGCCAAAGCTAATACGATAAGACTTTGGTTGCAATTAACTGGAACTTTCCTTTAAAACTATTGGTATGTTTTGTTACTGTGAGAAATTGAGAAAAAAGGAGAAATTTGCTAGTGCTTGTCACAGCATAGCAAGCCCCTGGCTCCCTTAGGGCTAAGTCTGTGTTTGCTTTCTTTTAGCCCAATCTCATATGCTCTTTATCTCTCTTTTCTGCTCCGGGCACTGTCTACACACACAACATCTTGCCAGTGACTGCAGCAGGCACATGTCTTTGCTTCACCTCATCCTTGAACAACACTAAGAGACACACAAGAGAAGAGGGATATACTGAAAATGGTCATGCTGGTCATTATCTTTAACCCTCCCTCTTCTGGTGAAGAGTAATGATGAGCATGATTGTTTTCTGTTGAGTGCTCTGTTAACTGAATGTAGTTAAAGACATTTACACCTGGTAGCTGCGCGATACTACCCCAGTCTTCTATATTCATAATAACTTCCTATAGACGACATAGACAGCCGCCTAGGGCACCACCCAGAGGGGAGTTCAGTTCAATCTTAATTTAGTTAAAAGGATACTTTGCTGATTTTCAACCAGCTTTCTATCATAACAATGTGGGTAGTATGTGTAAATGATTCAGACTGTAGCCGAGATAGCGTCTGCAATCCCCCGCTGCCAGTTTGTGCATATTCAGTACGCACCTAGGAACCTTTTGCAAGCACTAGTTTCTGGTAGGACCGGTCTGAGTGGGAACTACATCCGGTTCATGGAAGTTCACGCTTTGACTAGCAACCACTGTGTGTGGAGGCTGCAAACTTGGAGAGATTGTCCCATTTGAGGTAAGTTGTGCTAAGATGAACACACGTAGCAGTTTATTGTTTGCTTCTACAGCTGCCATGTTGGAATAGACTTCATGTGACGAATATTTTTTACGTTATTTGGAGATTTCGGTTTGTTGCTAATTCGCTACGTTCGTCCATAATGGCTACATTAGTCCAAAACAGCAGCATATAAATAATGCTGTATTTAGATGGCTTTCAGCACTCACGTGCATTTTCTGTAGGAAATGCCATTCTAGTTACTTTTCTTTAATCATTATTAAGATAGTGTGCTGAGATATAAATGTCATTTCTGCCTTTTTTTTATAACACAGACCAAAATCAACGCATCAATGTTGGACGGGAAGCGATCAGGTGGATTTCATATCGGGATTCCACCACTCGAAAGTGACGACAGCTGTCTCAGTGACAGTGGGGATAGCGATGAAGACAAAACTTGTACCCCAGGTGATGAAAACGGCAGTAATAGGGGCGTCGGCACTATAGATATCTTATACATTAAGGTAGATACCTCGTTGACGGCTTCGGCCCGTTTCAGCGATGCGTCAGCGTCGCCATCATCTTGGGGAGGTCGCGGCCGGCTGGCCGGTACTGTTGTGTAAGTCTTACGCAAACTTGGCGTGCTCACTTAAAAGTCTCAAAGTGTAATTGGGCGCCAGTCCAAAAAATTACAGCAAAGCACAAAAACCCGACAGCACTCACTGATAAGTGTAATACTTTTTAATATAGTGGATTGCACAGCAGCAGTCGAACGAATAGCCGTCCTCAGCGTTAAATGGTTTGTGGGCGTGTGCCCCTTTTAACAGAAACCAGCTGGTTCAGATTAACATTAGAAATACAAATATGGATCATTCATAAATGCAACCTCAGTGATACATCGAATAGTCTAAATATAATTAAAAAGAATAGAATGTATGGATATGTATGTGTACATGCCCGAAAGTACCTGTGCGTTTGTGCCATAAGCTCTCCATCAGAGCGGGTGTTCAGCGCCGCGGCCGAAGTTGTCAATCCACCACGTGCCCTGCTCCAGCTGGAAAAAGTTAACATGCTGGTTTTTCTGGCGAAAAACCTCGAATAGTTTTGAAGCATAGGATGCTGCTATAGTTATCATTATACTTTGTTTTTATGTCATTTTCAATGAGGAGTAGCCTGTTCTGACGGTCAAAACAGTTGGGACTTGGAGAGGGTGAACTTTTCAAACTAAAGGTAGGCTCTAAAAATAAACTAACCAACAGTATCTCCCGTTGCGTTCTCAATTCAATTCAATTTTATTTATAAAGCCCAATATCACAAATCACAATTTGCCTCACAGGGCTTTACAGCATACGACATCCCTCTGTCCTTAAGACCCTCACAGGACCTTCTCAGGATGGGATTATATAGCCTATATAGCCTATGCTCATTTTCAGTCATGCCTTGTTATTTATTGTTCTGTTTTTCTAATTTGATAAGCCCTAGTACTGGATGCTGTAGAGCTGTGCTTTTAATGTATTTGATTTATGTTGATAAGTTCTAAAAATAAACCATTGGACAGTACTCATTGCGGTCTGACGATACGCTGTATAGCACACATTATCATTACTGCCGTTATTTATTGTTACTTTTTTGGAGTGGACTGTAGCCCACAGACAATTTGTTGTTAAGCCTGTTTAATTCTGTTTGGTTGACTGCTGCATTTGCACTTTTTAAATATTTATTAATAAAAGTTATTAATGTTGTACATGTTTTGTTATTTTTTTCAGTATTCTTAGGCCTATGTAATGTTTGCTATTATGTTTCTGAACGGTATAGGCACAAGCCGACATTTTGGCGACTCCCTGTGAGCCCTTTAAAGTGATTATTAATTAGTCAGGGTAATACCGTATAGCCCGGGAAAATGTGGGGAAGGTTTAACGGTAGCAAAATTTGGATGTGTGTGTACATATATATATATATATATATATATATAATATAAAAAATATATAAGAAACTTTGTAAATATATTTTGGTCTATCTTTTGATGTTGTGTTGTATTTTGTGCTTCATGATTTGTTGTACTCAATTGCACTTTGAGACTTTTGAGTGTGCACACCAAGTTTGCTGAAGCAGCAGTAATAATGCTATCATTTTGAAGAGTTTCAACTTTTTTGTTGTTTACATATGGCCATATGTTTTTGAATGTAACCATGTGTACATGATGTTTATATAATGTACATAAAAATGTCTGCACTTTTCTAAAGTGATTTTTTTTCTGCACCAGGTTATGAAAGCGGCAGTAGTGAGAGTGCTGACAACAGCAGCAGTGATGAAGACTTTATTGCTGCAAGAAGGAAATCAGCTGCTACTACAAAAAGAAAAAGACTCAAGGTAGCATGGAAGATGGCGAAGCAAGAGAACTCTGTAACAGACGATCCAGTTAGGCAAGGTGCTCCTCTGGGTGCTAATGAAATCAGACTGCCCATTCAATACTTCAGAGATTTTTTTGATGCTGATCTTTTGGGTGGTATTGTGGAACAAAGCAATCTGTATTGCACACAACAAAATCAAAATTGTGCCCTCAAATTGGATCAGAATGAACTGGAGCAGTTTATTGGCACTGTAGTGTACATGAGTGTTTTGCATTTACCTAGGCCAAGAATGTACTGGTCCAGTGCATGTCGAGTATCGCAGGTGGCTGATGTGATGTCCCGAGACAGATGGGAAGAAATAATACATTTCATTCATTTCAGTGACAACATGGCACCCAATAACGGTGATAGGCTTTTCAAAGTCAGGTCACTTATTGATTCACTTCTCCCCAAATTTCAGGCTCTCCCTCAAGCTCAAATGTTATCTGTTGATGAGCAAACGGTGCCATTCAAAGGCAGATCAAGTCTAAAGCAGTATATCCCCGAGAAGCCATACAAATGGGGATACAAAATCTTTGTGCTTTGTGACACAGAAGGCCTGGTGCATTCATTTGACATATTTGCAGGGAAAATTGGTCCTGCACCAGGACAACCAGACATTGGGGCAAGTGGAAACATTGTGCTAAAGCTTGCACAAGATATTCATGATGCTGCCAATCACTTGCTGTGCTTTGACAACCGGTTTTCCTCCTTGGATTTGTTTGTTGCTCTTGCAAACAAGGGGATACCAGCCCTTGGTACTGTGCAGCAAAGTTGCCTGAAAGGGTGCAGTTTCAGTGAAGACACAGAAACAAAGAAAAAGAGAAGAGGGACATTTGAAGAGCAACAGGTTGACATAGACAATGTGGAAATAAGAGCAGTCAAATGGTTTGACAACAGCGGGGTGATCGTTGCCAGCACTTTTGCCAGTGCCCGGCCTGTTTCTAACATAGAAAGATGGGATAGAAAGTTGAAAAAGAAAGTGTCTGTGGAATGCCCAGGTATCATCAGCCTGTACACCAAGTTCATGGGCGGGGTTGATGCTCTTGATGCACTGATTGCAGATTACCGCATCCACATAAGGTCAAAAAAGTACTACCATAGGTTCTTTTTTCACTTTGTGGATATGGTCATTGTCAACAGCTGGTTGTTGTATCGGCGTGATTGTGAGTCACTGAGTGTTCCGAGAAAGAAGCAGATGGATTTGCTTGCTTTCAGAACATCTATTGCACAGGCGCTCTGCATGCAAGGCAAGGATCTGTCAAAAAACAAGAGGGGGCCGCCTTCATCGGATGTTGAAAGGGAGTTTGAAAAGAAGAAGCGTCGAGGTCCAGCTAAGGCTATTCCAACACAGGAAGTCCGTTCAGATGCTGTGGGTCACTGGCCAGTGGTTGAAAGAGATCGGCAACGCTGCAAATTCCCAAATTGTAAGGGCCAGACTGTGTTCAAATGTGCAAAGTGCAACGTTCACCTGTGCCTCAACAAAAACAAAAACTGCTTTCGTGAATTCCACGAGTAAGGCTGTTTCATGCAAAGACAGTTCAAGTGACATGCTCACTCTCCACATTGGAGAAACAAGGACAGAGTAGGAGTGAAGATGTCATGGTGAAATTTAAGGTGTGCTGATTGATTCATGTCATCAACTCATGCACTGAGTAACATTTCAAGTAAATGTTCCACCTTAAAACATGTCGACAGTCAGCCCAATGAATGAAGCTATTTTTTTCTCTTTCATTTTATAGTTATAGTTTTCTGATGTATGATCAGAGGTTACATAAAACCAGCCGCAACTCAGCCCTGAGCAGAGTGACTGTCCTCTACTGACCAATCAGACTGCAGGGTTTCTAGCTCCACATTTTATTACCAGATCTGTGTACTAGGTACTAGTGATGGTGAGATGAAGCCTCATGGAGCATTGAAGCTTTCCAACAAATTGGTTCAGAAAAGGGTTCATTTCTCAAGGCTTCATGTGCACACGAAACCACCTGCTGGCCAAAGTGTGTAAAACAGGCAGCTGTGACCTTAACCATGTAATCTGTGATACACGGCATTTTGTGTCAGTAATGGGTGTTGGGAATAACTATTAATAATAATAATAATAATAATAATAATATAACTTTCTTTTTATCAATATAGTGTATTTTCTAGTGAGTATATTATGACTACACTGTATCAAATACATCTACAATAAACTGTTATTGTTTTGTGAATGCATCCTATGTGTATAAACCAATCATTTGGCTAAAAATTGTATTGTTGTGTAGTGTCATATAATATAATAATGGCAAAAGGGGTAATATTCGTGTTCTGTATCACTTCTGTGCAAACCTCACACCAAGATCTGAACCACTTCCCGAACCAGTCACATGGTACAGCCTGGCAGCGAGGCTTCGGGCGTCATCAATGACGTCACTCATCTGAAACTATACAAGCCTCGATACGCGCATCGCGGAAACACTTCCTGGATTAAGCCTGATTTATGGTCCTGCGTTAAATCAACGACGTTGCTACGTCGTAGGGTATGTGGCTACGCAGAAGGCTCGCCGTAGCCCCCGGCGTAGCCTGACGTGCACCTCCCCAAAAATGTAACTACACGTCGAGGCGACGCAGACCCAGCGCAGACCGAGAGGGCTGCAACGCATTTCAGGTTCCGTATTTCCAGATTGCGCCATCCCCGCCATCTTTAAACATCTTCTGTTGCGATGTAGATGTTGCAGTATTAAGGCCCATTTATGCTCAACGTTCAATACGGATACAGACCGATACGGACGGAGCCGTCTGTCCGTGCTCCGCATTCATTTCTCTGTGACCGGAAAAGCCGGAAGCTAAACAAAGAATCAACTAGAGACGACGATAACCATTCAGGAAAGGAACGCAGCCTCCTACCGCTCTGGCGGTGAATTGCACCGTGACGAAATGGAGTGACGGAGAAGTTTGAAGGGTTCACGACGGCGTCACGGCAACTACCATTCTTTTTACCCTTTATACCTGTTGTCACTACTTTGCATCATACCTAAATGTATATCTATTTTATGTGCTATAGACAAATGAACAATCTCCACTTATTTTAGCATCAGCTTGGAAGCAAAAACACAAATAATTGTTTTTATATACACTACAGGCCAAAAGTTTGGACACACCTTCTCATTCAATGTGTTTTCTTTATTTTCATGACTATTTACATTGTAGATTCTCACTGAAGGCATCAAAACTATGAATGAACACATGTGGAGTTATGTACTTAACAAAAAAAGGTGAAATAACTGAAAACATGTTTTATATTCTAGTTTCTTCAAAATAGCCACCCTTTGCTCTGATTACTGCTTTGCACACTCTTGGCATTCTCTCCATGAGCTTCAAGAGGTAGTCACCTGAAATGGTTTCCACTTCACAGGTGTGCCTTATCAGGGTTAATTAGTGGAATTTCTTGCTTTATCAATGGGGTTGGGACCATCAGTTGTGTTGTGCAGAAGTCAGGTTAATACACAGCCGACAGCCCTATTGGACAACTGTTAAAATTCATATTATGGCAAGAACCAATCAGCTAACTAAAGAAAAACGAGTGGCCATCATTACTTTAAGAAATGAAGGTCAGTCAGTCCGGAAAATTGCAAAAACTTTAAATGTGTCCCCAAGTGGAGTCGCAAAAACCATCAAGCGCTACAACGAAACTGGCACACATGAGGACCGACCCAGGAAAGGAAGACCAAGAGTCACCTCTGCTTCTGAGGATAAGTTCATCCAAGTCACCAGCCTCAGAAATCGCAAGTAAACAGCAGCTCAGATCAGAGACCAGATGAATGCCACACAGAGTTCTAGCAGCAGACCCATCTCTAGAACAACTGTTAAGAGGAGACTGCGCCAATCAGGCCTTCATGGTCAAATAGCTGCTAGGAAACCACTGCTAAGGAGAGGCAACAAGCAGAAGAGATTTGTTTGGGCCAAGAAACACAAGGAATGGACATTAGACCAGTGGAAATCTGTGCTTTGGTCTGATGAGTCCAAATTTGAGATCTTTGGTTCCAACCGCCGTGTCTTTGTGAGATGCAGAAAAGGTGAACGGATGGATTCCACATGCCTGGTTCCCACTGTGAAGCATGGAGGAGGAGGTGTGATGGTGTGGGGGTGTTTTGCTGGTGACACTGTTGGGGATTTATTCAAAATTGAAGGCACACTGAACCAGCATGGCTACCACAGCATCCTGCAGCGACATGCCATCCCATCCGGTTTGCGTTTAGTTGGACGATCATTTATTTTTCAACAGGACAATGACCCCAAACACACCTCCAGGCTGTGTAAGGGCTATTTGACCAAGAAGGAGAGTGATGGAGTGCTGCGGCAGATGACCTGGCCTCCACAGTCACCGGACCTGAACCCAATCGAGATGGTTTGGGGTGAGCTGGACCGCAGAGTGAAGGCAAAGGGGCCAACAAGTGCTAAACACCTCTGGGAACTCCTTCAAGACTGTTGGAAAACCATTTCAGGTGACTACCTCTTGAAGCTCATGGAGAGAATGCCAAGAGTGTGCAAAGCAGTAATCAGAGCAAAGGGTGGCTATTTTGAAGAAACTAGAATATAAAACATGTTTTCAGTTATTTCACCTTTTTTTGTTAAGTACATAACTCCACATGTGTTCATTCATAGTTTTGATGCCTTCAGTGAGAATCTACAATGTAAATAGTCATGAAAATAAAGAAAACGCATTGAATGAGAAGGTGTGTCCAAACTTTTGGCCTGTACTGTAATTGTAAGTAAATTCAGGCGTCAAGGGGCTAAGCAGTGTCTAGATCTCCCTGCTCCCTCCCAGTGAAACTCTACCAAATAATGTGTTTCGTTGCTCAAAACTACAGGCTGTACTTAAACATTTTTGTATTGCTCACCACCCATGCCGATACCACGGACACAAAGAGTATAGAAGGGTATCAGGAGACAAACTTGTCCCTCTGTCTGTCAAATTCAGACTAAACTGAGATCAAACAGTAAAACTAGGCAGCGCTGATAAAATTATAAACCAAGACTCTGTCACTGTGTTGCCTATTTCTCCCCTCAAATGTTTTCAGAAACATATTTTAGCTTACAGTTTGACTGTAATATGCAACACATTCTCACTCCGACCTTGTCACAAATTGACGTGCTTGGTCAGTTATGTTCATATTCTGTTGCTGACTGCAATCGTCATAAGCACAGAGCAGTCATGTCACTGTGCATGTTACAGTGTAAAGAAACATTGTCTTGTAGTTCTGCCCTTTTTGACAAACACTTATTATTATTGTTCTAACTTAGCACGTATGAAAAGCGTGTGGGTCTACCCATAGATAAAAACATAAAACATATCAAAACCCTTTCAAAAGAAAAAAAACAGTCAAACACTTTCTCATTCACCCCACAATTTTGCCAAAATCAGCCTGTATTTTTTTGACAAAATAAATTCAAAAGAAATAACCAATTACTTCCTTGATAAAGCCTCCAATTTCCTATCTAAATAGGCCTGGCACATTGGCACATTCACATTTTGCTGTACACCAGGCAGCCATGCAGCATTAATCTCTTTCACTGGACAGGCCAGACTATGGCAGCTACTCAAGCTGGTTGGAAAACAAGCACACACAAAAAAACATTTAAGAAACACCAGCAACACTTAGCCTGCCATTATAGTACAGCAAGTTCAGCGAGGTCATAGAGGAGGCGCTCTTCTTGGCACTGGCCAAAACCTGCAGGACGAAAACACCATGAGAGAAGAGGAAGCTGGCAGAGGAGACATCAATTACCAGAGTGAAATGGCAAGCTGTGCCAAAGCACTCTCTCAAGTTAAGCAGGGACAATGGCGAAGCTGGGAAATGGAGAGAGGAAACAGTGGAGTTGAAAAGAACTCGGGGACATGGTGATGAGAATTAAACTCATTATCAGTGGCCCCTGTGTACTCCTAATACTGCGGAAACTTTACAACAGGCTAGCTGAGAAGCCAACTTGTCATTCTTTATTAAAAAAAAAAAAATAGTAGCACTCAGGCATGTTTTGTCAGGATGCAAAAAATAGTCCAAGGACAATATACTTGAAAGCCAAACTACATGGGATGACAGGAACAATCACAGACACTCTGACTAAGATGAAGTGGGACAGTGTGGCTGGGAAACCTAGGTGCACTACGCTGTATGTCATCTAATATATATGGTTGAAGAGTTAGACTTGGTTCAGGTGCCATGAGGAGTTCCTTGTATGCCTACGCCCTGATAATGTGGACTTAAAACATTGTGAAGAAAGGCTTTGGACTCATAGGTTGTCTTGTCCTTGAGGACTTACAGTATGTCACTATTCATTGAACCCTTTTCTTTGGCTTATTTTGGATTTATAACACTGTGGTTTTTGACTTTTTATAATCTTACTCGTGATTATTGCATCTTATATTTCTACTAAATCATACTCATTTTTTGCATCTTTTGTTAATTGCCTTTTCGTCCTCTTAAAGGAGCAGTGTGTAGGATTTAGTGGAATCTAGCATTGAGATTGCAGATTGAAACTAACTGAATGCCCCTCCACCCACCTCTTCTTTTCCAAGTGTGTAGGAAAACAAATGGTGGCCTTCACTAAAGCGGAAAAATTGAAAGGTCCTCTCTAGCCAGAGTTTGGTTTTATTCCTTTTGGGCTATGGTAGAAACATGGTAATGCAATATGTTGGAACTGTGGAAGATGACCCGCTCCTTATGTATATACGAAGGGCTCATTCTGAGCTAATTAAAATGCAATGATTGTATTCACTAATGAAAACACAATTATGAATATTATATTCAGTTTCTTCCAATAGATCCTGCTAAATCCGACACACTGCTCCTTTGAAAGACAATGCACCTAAGCAGAGTTTGGGGTGAGTCAAGACCTGTAGCTGCCGTGGGCCTCTAAAGCCCGTTGTGGCAATGTATGTGATATTGGGTTATACAAAACTCCACTCGACTACTTATATATTTCTGGCTGATTTCTTAGTCCTTATGCAGATGATGCTTTGTTTTAGATTTTGTTAATTTTGATAATCCATTATTATTTTATCTTTTTAAGCAAAAGAGGCAACAATTCAGTGGTTCCTGGGTCTTTGAGCTAACTGTATTTTGGTTTTCTTGGTCATTTATAGTAACACATTTTGGGGTTTTGGAGCATTGATCCAGCCTACGACCCATATTTATGTTATTTGTTAGGACCTCTAATGGTCATAGGAATTATGACGGGAGCAAAGGAGGAAGTCAGGTGATGTAAAGAGTAACACAGTCCACATAGGGAGGAAATCTGTGTGGATGGCTGGATCAAACAAACACAGGACTTTGACCCAGGAGACTGCTGTTTGTGTCCCGTGTTAAACAAAAGGTCAATATAACAAACATGTTAATTATTTTAATCCAAACCATGGTGCAGAACTGCAATCGTTTCACAACGTTAACGTCAGTAGCCTACGTGTTTCTGGAACTCTCGAATGGTCATATATGTTTCAGGAGTCAGTAGCAAACAACCTATTTTGTTAGGATATATTAGCTGGTCACAGAAAATGACATTTAGTGACATCACCTCAGGATCACTATTAACTGATATTTACAGATCAAAGCAATATAATTAGTATCTTTTTAATGTTCTTTTCTACTGAGTAAAGGAGTTAATTTGGTGCCTGTGCTCTCTGATGGGAGCTCTGTACCCATCACTACAAATTATCTGGCGTGTCTCATAGCACAGAACACCCAACCTGCTTGTTACTTACATCTCTATTTAAAGATTTGTCATTAAGTCCTGCACCAAGCTACAAAACAGCAGCATTTGAAACTGAAACAAAATAATAGCTTAGTCTTTCACTGGAAAGAAAGACAGTAGGTGGCTTCATAAAAGCTTTCTGAGCCATTGTGCAAAATCTTCCACAAATTTTCTGTTTGCTGATGCAATCTAAAGCATCACGTCTCTCGGCCTCTGCTCACCTGCTGTGACTCCCCCGCTCTCACCCCTTTGTTAAGATGATTGAAGTCCGGTGGACATATTCCAGCTCAGACTGAAAGCTAAAGCCCACTCTGCTGCCTCACAGCCAAAAATGTGGCATGAATACATTATTGTCACTTGCTTTACAGCCTTAATATGTAAAATGTGAAAGTATTGAGCTCTTCTCCACATCCTCCTCCCCCATTTCTCCTGCATGCTCCTCTTTATCATATTCTCACTTTACCAATCTTCCCATCCCTTCCTCCACTTCTCTCTCCTTCCTTTCTGCCTCACTTTATCTCCTAATCCACACTGTCCTATCCCGTTTCCAGCCACACACACACACACACACACACACACACACACACACACACACACACACCTTCAGACCCTGACCCGCATTCTTTGCAGGGACCAAGAAGTGATGTGGCACCCAGTCCAGGACATGGGACAGTGTAAACAGCAGTAACCCCAGCCAAAGCCTGCAGCCCCTCTCTGGTTGCCCCTCTCAGTGTGTGTGTGTCAGTGTGAAAAGCAAACCCCACCAAACTGCACACAACCCACAGCTTAAAGTGACAGGCCTGGCCCTATAACGCAGACTTTAAACATTCATTTAGGAGCACGAGTTTCTGGTTGTGCCGAAGATTTATGTCTTACTCTTCTACTTTTATGAGCCGGGTGATCTTGCAAGCAGACTGCTCGAACTTCAAAGTGGGTTTGATGGATGTTTTAAGGAATATTTCATCAGTGACGATGCTTTCAACTTCTTTTAAGTTGCTGCTAAAGTAGTTCAGCCACAATTCAAGCCTCTCTAATCTCCACTCTGCTGTCAGTGGCTGTGTTTTTATCCTATGCTTGATTTCTGTGGATGTTTTTTGGAAAACATTTGAAAACCCAGTTTACGTGTGTATGATCTGTGCGTGTTTTTTGTACGTGGGTGAGTAGAAGTGCTTGATTTCTTTTTTTTTTTATTATTGTGTGTGAAAGACGAGCTGCAAACCCTGGAAGCCTGTTTTTTCCTCACAGACAGTCGCTATATTCTCCTGCTCTTTAACATGACTGTATATGTTAGTGTAGGTCTGATGTTTTCCTCCTCCAGCAGCTGTTCTCTCATTGGCCTGGCTACAGCCGTGGAAGGTGTGGTCTGGATGAGCGATGCTGCATCCTTTGTTAAACCGTGCACTTTAATATTGAATAGTAAACAGTTAAGAAGCTGCAGCCGCATGTGCTCGATATAAATGTCATGATTTTGCTTTATATTTATCAGAAAAGTCTACTTAATCAAGGGATTTCCATTTTTTCCCTCATCCCCACCTGTGGCAGGAATTGAAGATGTGTCCAGACAACTCAAAGGGATTCAACGGAAGCTGCGACCGTATCAAACTCGGAAACTTGGATTGAACTCCGACTGAAGTTCAGGTAGAGAGAGGACCGCTGATTGAACAGTTTTAAGGATCGACACTTGACTTGGTGAGAGGGAAAAAACGCGAGACGCGTGCGCTTTCCTCTGACCATGATCATGGGCACCATGCGCTCCTCGCCGTGTGCGTAAGCTGCTGTGGAGGATTCACACATTATGAGACGCCATGGCATGGTGTGACCGAGGGGTTCAGACTCTGCTGGCCATCGCGGGGGCCTTCGCCGCCTTTAGTCTCATGACCATCGCCATCGGCACCGACTACTGGCTTTACTCCAGGGCTTACATCTGTAACGCCACTAACGCCACCACGGACGAGTCCCAGATGCAAACCAAGAAAGTCAAAGGCGACCTAACGCACTCCGGGCTGTGGAGGATCTGCTGTATCGAAGGTAAGTTAATAAGTTAGTGACTAGTTATTACGCAAACTTTTTTGTTACTTTTTCTGTTGTGCTCATTGGCACAGCCGAGCATTGTGTCCATAGATGAGCCCCCTGATCTCCTGATCGCTTTACGGTGGGAGGGGGACAATATAGTCAGTGTGATTGATCAAATAGTCAGTACATCTTCTGTCTGTGATCCAGACGAATTCTCCAACTGGGAAAACCCCCAATGAAAATATCTGTAACACTGTTCTTTTGTGCAAAATAAAGTACACGGGCATTCCCAACAAATGATTTCCTGTTTGTTTTGTGTGACGACGCACCAAAACTGGAGATGTGCCAAGGGGTGCATCATCACCAACAGTCATTTCTATTGTTGAGTGCGCTGAATGGGCACAAAGGGTACGTTGGAATGATATTAAATAGGAAAAACTGGAGGGAAAGTGCTGCTTGTTGCGCGCAAAGGCGATGTTGCGCGCGCATAATGCTACGTTTGCGTCAGTTTCCCTCGTAAATGATTTAGTTTGTCACTGAAAAAGAGCACTCAGTAGACAGATGACGGCAAAGAGCCAGAACTAATGTTTTTTTTTTATGTTTTACATTTTGTTACAAGCAAGAAATGTCTCCAAATCGCCCAGGAATAATTTAAGGACTCGTCCTAATTTTCTCATTAACTCAGGACGGTTGCTTGGCAACTACTTCCATAAAATTGCTTAGACTGATGAAATAATTTTCAGCTACAGAATTCAGCAAGAAACTGACTTCATAAAAATCCTGTCAACATTTTCTCAGCTGTTGCTCTGCGTATCCATGATCCCCCAACACACACACACACGCGCGTGCGAGGAGTTTGGGGCTGGGCTCCCTGCGCTGGTCTTACAGCTAGTTGTTGTTTGGACACGAGTGCTTCAGCGAGGAGAATGAGATCAATGAGATCAGTCAGTCGATCCGTGAAAGTAGTCATCACCAGTGACGTCTTCCATCAGCCTCCCCTGTTGTGGCGCTGTCCACTGCTGCTGGTGCTGAAACCTCAACTCTGAATGACTGTGTTCCTTTTAACTAACAGACCAACTAAATAACGAGGCTTAATACATAGAATAAGTCTTACATTTGCGAAAAAACCTCAGATGCATGGGGATGATCATGACACACTAAAAGGCAGAAATAGTTAGTTGCTGACTTGCGAAATATTCTCGTTGTGAACACCATGACAGAAGGCAGAATTTTGCCTACAGGTGGTTCTTTTATGGCCTCTCATTCATGCTTTGTAGCCAAGTAGATGTTCCAGCAATGTGCTGAGCACTGTGATTGCATTATGGACTATAATCACATCACAACACTGAAAATAAGCACATCACAGAATATAATACCGTACTTACAATCATTATAGTTTTTATGACATTTGACACATATTCACCATTCCCTAACTGATCACAAGAAAACACTTGAGTAAAAGTAAAGGAAATTTGTTTAATCCCAAAACCATGTGGTGTTTAGATCTGTGGTTTTCAACCGCTTTATGTCAAGCCCCCCTTAGTTGATACACATTAAGACACTGAGCCTCATTTGATAAGATTTTGCTTCAGGCACTCCCATCTGAAAAGATTTTGGTTGTTAGATATGATTAAGACCAGTTAGTTGTCAACTACAGCAGAGGAGTTAACCGTGGAGGAAGTGAAACCTTATGATCAGAATACTCTTATGGCTCTTACACTGGACTCACCTCTATAACGAATTAAATTGTGAGAATAAACTATTCCGCATTTTTCTGGAATCCCCCCAGAACTCCATAAAGGGAGAGAAAACCACTGGTTTAGATGAACTCATGACAAGGAAGCTTGCATCTCCTATGTTCTTCCTTGTGACCAGAAGGCAGCGTCTCTCAGACATTGCAGTACTTGCCCAGAGGTTTGTCTCATATGCAGATGAATGCAGTCCCACACCACACACTTTTGCTCTGCACTGTTGCTACTCTTACTGGAGTTTGATACATATAAAAATGCATGACTATTTATGGATTTCCTGTAAAGTTAATCAAAAGACACGTTCCCTTCTCCCCCACTTCCAACCCTTGAGAGTACCATCAGCAGAAGTGAAGCAGAGTGCTTGCTGTTCTTAAGCATCTGTCATCTTTTCCACTATCTTCGCTTTCCCTGCATAAATTGCTGGATGTGTGTTACACACAGCGGAGAGTGAAAGTAACACTTCTTCTCTTGCTGTGTCTCTGTCACACATCACATCAGCACTATTGCCATACAGCTGTGAAATTCAATTTAACTGGCTTCTGGCGGCACACCTGTAATCTACAAGTGATGCTAGCTGAACCCAAAAGACTTTATAAGATTTTGGTGAAATTAAAATGATAATGACATCCAGTGACTCGTACACCAAAGATCTTAGTGACTTCCCAGCATATAAGCAGTTGGGATACACCCTCTAAGTGTCTCTCTTTGGCTAAATACATAGTTGAAATGTCAACCTATTATGTGTTTCCTTTTTTCTATCACATTCATAATGTTACAGCAAAAACCTTTTTCAATTTTGGCTATAAGGTGACATCAGATGGTAACATTATTTGTTCATCTGCTCCATGCATACTACGCTGCTACGTGTAGCTACATGTAGCTACATGCTAACATCAGGAAAACATGTAAACCTGGTCGCAGATGTTGCGGATTTCCTCCAGATTTTGGATCATATTCCTGCGGGAACATGCAATTTTTTCACAGTAGAAAATGCTATACTCCATTACAGTCATGCCCCTGCTGCAGCATGGATGCATAAAGAGACCTGGATACAGCGCTGGGGGCGGGCCTTGTTCATTTCTATGAAAGTTGCTCAGTGGCACAATAAGCCAAAAAAAGGTGATTTCAGATATGATATTACCCAGATCTTCCACATCATGGGGCCCACAGAGCAGCCACACAAGAAACTTACGACAGCTGAGCGTCTAACTTCTGGTTTAGCCTTCCACTGACTTGAATGGGGACAAAATGATTCAATCATGTGGCTCTCTAGACTTAAGAAATGGTATTGGACTGCATGGATCAAATCCTGACGGTGAAAAGAGCCATTTCGTGGGGGTTGTGACACACAGATGTTTCTTTTGCAATGTTAGTCTATAGGAAAAAGTTTCTTTGGGCCCCATGGCATGTTGTAATTCCATGTTTGGCCACCATATAAATTTGGCTTCAAAGCACAGAGCTGTTCTGTAGGGCTTGGGTTGCAATGATTGTGCAGAGACTCTGAGATACGGAAGTCCAAAATGCTGACCAATCTAGGCTGTTTTGCGAGACGGGCTTAAAGAGACATGCTAAAACGAAGGCCTTCAGAAGGAGGTTGAATGCAGGCGTTCCAGCATCGACAGTATAAAGAACAGTAAAGCATGTAAACATGTTCTAGTAGAAACCCAAAGCTCAAGTATGAACCTGAAGATGAGCATCATTGGTCCATTTTATGAGAAAAGACTAAATAGGGGTCATAGCTTTAATTGTCCGCTCATTTAACTGTCCACTTGAGATATGATCTTTTCCAGGAACAAAGAACAAGATGGAATCCAACCACTTATATCAGGTCAAATGAGCAGCATAAATAATGGGTAAGCCCAGGGACACGTTGGCTAACCTTGTAGAAGAAATTACGCTTGTCGCTCTTATGTGCCAAACAGACGCCTGTATGAGTGTTGTGTCGTGTAGAACAAGGAGGAGGTTCGCTGAAGGTGAGCAATGATGGCAAATGAGCTTTAAAAGGAAACAAAGTGAAGTCTTGTTCCGCGGCCATTCATGCTGAAACACGACAAGAGCTCTCACTTAAGCCATCACCCCTGATAGCTGAACATGCCAGAGTGGCACTAAAACATACAACGTGTTTCAAACAGACATTTGGTCCGACTTCAAATGGGTAAATCCTGCTGATTTGCTGTGAGCCAACATCTCACCAAGTTTTATTTTTCATAATGTGATTGTTGTTTGAGATTCTCAGTGTTGTAAAGGCTGCTTTCTGGTTCCGTAGCTTTGTTAGTGTGTGTGCGTTTCCGTGGAGCACCGGAGTATGTGTGTGTTAGTCTGGTGAATGCATTAGTAAGATGTCAAAGGCGTCCTCTGAGAAGCGGAGCTAGAAATGTGATTCTGGGTTGCCGGGGGGAGGTTGCCATGGTGAAGCTATGCTGAGTAATAAAAGATGGGCTCGGGTCTCTCAGACAGATGGGCTCTGGGGAGATACCTCCCCTACTGAGCTCACTCTCTTTCTCTCTCTCCTTTCTCTATCTCTCTCAGCGTCATTCCTCTGATTATTAACTCCCTGGACTTCTCCATGTTTTATTCATTAATACAATTATTTTACTTTGACATCTTCACTTCTGGTTTGATCGTACAAAATAAAACTCTTTTTTTTAATGTCTTTATCCTGTTATCTTTTACCGTACACCTGTGACTGCTTTTTCCCCAAGACCTTTGGGATGACACAATCAAGAGAAAACATCCAATTACAGTCAAACACTGATCTTATAGATATAAAATACATGCAAGATACACTCTCACACACACAGTATGATAATTATATAACACAATGATTGCCTCTGCCATCGATCCAAAGAATGTGCTTGGTACATAAAAGATCAAAAGGAAGCTGAGAGGGAGTCGAAGAGGAAAACACTTTAGAACACAGGAGGGAGAGAAGGTAATTGAGACATGATAGTGGTGAGTGTTTTAAGAAGAGACAAGATGAGGGTTTAAAGAGACTGAAAGAGTGAGGTTGAGAGAGTGGAGTTGGTGGAGATAGACTCTTTGAGTCTGGGCTGTTGAGGATGTTTCATCACTTTATCTCTTGCTTTTCATTCTCTCTCTTTCCCAGCACTCTCAGATTAACCATGGAGATGTAGCAGACAAATGTGACACTGAAATTTTTATGCTGATGGCTGGGATGAAATCATGCCGCAATGTTAAGTAAGAAACGTACTAAAGGTGCCTCGTGTAAACAGCTACTGTTTTGTTTACATGTAGCGTTCCTCATCAGATCACATCATGTGCGCCCTCACAGCCTAACAGACATGGTGAATGCATTCCTAGCTCGTAAATGATTTCCAACACAGAATTTGTAACTGATCTGGATGAGCTGTCTACCACAAAATGCCATGTAGCCCAAGGCCATGCTAACTAGGTGCACAAAGCCACTCAGGCATACAAAGACTCAGCCAGTGACTGCAGCTAACGAGCTAACGTCCACATGGATTTTGATGTTATAGCCACAACACAGCTCGCCACAAGCCAAAACAGTGCACGCCCCCTCAAAATCCCATCACTGTAAGGCTATTCACTGGTGTTCACAACCGCACATGTTAGTGAGGCTGAATGTTAATGTTACATACAGTACAGTGGCTTTCAAGGCACTCTGGGGAGTAGTCTCACATAAGCCCTGTTTCCACCAGGCAGTACACTACGGTTCAGTTTGTCCTTTTTTTTCCCATTTCCACTGTAAAAGTTGTGGATGGTACCAATGGAACTGTTCTGTACAGGCCCCATTTTTGGTCCCCCCTCTGTTGGGGTACCTAGCACACAGATCTGGCACCAAAAGGTGTAACTGTGAACACTGCAGTCTGTTCATTGGTCAATAGCGAATGGTCACTCTGCTCAGGGCTGAGTTGTGGCTGGTTTTATGTAACCTCTGTTCATACATCAGTAAACTATAACTATAAAATGAAAGAGGAAAAAAAAACTTCATTCACTGGGCCGACTGTCGGCAACTTTTAAGGTGGAACGTTCACTTGTAATATTACTCAGTGCATGGTTTGATGACATGAATCAATCAGCACACCTTAAATTTTAGTTAGAAATTTCAGAGTTGTGGCTGGTTTTGAGGCTCATGTACTGTAACCGCTGTTCATACCATGGAGAGGTTTATTAGTAAACTGTAACTATAAAATGAAAGGACGTTTTGCTGCCTCTCACAGCAGCTGTGGTCTAAGAAATTTTTTTTACTGGGTCGACTGCCAGCAACTTTTAAGGTGGAACGTTTACTTGTAATGTTACTCAATGCATGAGTTGACAACATGAATCCATCAACAAACTTAAATTTTAATGTGACAACTTTGACCATTACTTTAGTTTTTATTGTCTCTCTTGGATGATTATTAGTAATGAGTGAATCTTCAAGCCTTTAAAAATTAATAATTTCAACCAGATTATGTGAACTGCACATATCCCAATCCTCATTTGAAGGAGAAAAAAAAAGCATCGTGGAGCATCATTCCTGAGGCCTACAGCAATACTAAACCCCTGAGCTTGCCTTAGAAGAACTAAATGCGCAAACCCACTCTTTTTAAATATCCCATCAAGAGGGACTCTCGCTGCAGCGTGTTTTATGTAGTTCTGAAAATGCTGGCATACAACCCCGTTCTTTGGACAATAAACGAGGTGCACACTAATGGAGGAGGAAATACAGTGAGTGCTGGACGGAGCAGTGAGTGACCTAGGGCCTGGATACCATGTCTGAAGGGTTAGTTTTGGTTCCAAAGGTACCATACCGAAAGTGTTTGATGGAAACCGGGCTACAGCCAGGCTTGTCTCATAATGTGCCAGCACTGGAGAAAGGTCTCGCTGAAACCATTGTAATTCTGCACTTAGGGGGAAAAATGCTTTGGGTTGTTTATATTTTTTTAAACCAATCATAATCGTCTTGGGCGGCGCTAAGCCCAGGATGCAGCGATGGTGCTCTGCCAAAATCAGGAGGGAACTTGGTTTGGTGGCCCTGGTATTAAAATGGCTACAAAAGAAAAGGCTGCATAAAACATTAAAAGACATTTTAACATGTGAGCTTCTAGCTTCAGGTTGAGGTTGTTGTTTCATGCATAGCGCTAAAATGAAGTGTGGAGATACGCCTGGCTATGCTTATTTCACGCAGTGACAGGGATTTTAAAAAACATGCAGGAAACGTCTGAGAGAGGCAGCCACTGACAGGCTTATACCCACAGTCTACATCCCGTAACCTAGACTCCATGTGGACTAGTTACGTTTATATTCAGTGTTAACGCATTGTGTGTTTCTTTAAAGGCTGATATATTTGCTGAATGCATTTCCTTCCTCATGAAAAATAGCAGAGTGGAATTTGTTTTGTTTTATTTTACATTTTGTATCGTTTACATCGAGTTTTGCCAGCTTGCAGTCTTCTTCTCCCTCCTGTTTGCTGGCACATGTTTCTTGACGCTTCACTGCAGCCTATTTTCAAACAGAGGTATTGTGTGAAGTCTTTGGCAGGTGTGTGTCACATCACCCACATGCTTGTACGTGTGCACAAGATCCAAACAAAAGGTGACCTGCTTATATCACAATTGCGTCATATTCTTATCAGTGGTCAAAAACTTCACAGGGTACCTTTACATCAGGCACATCTGCTGAATAGATGTTTTGTTACAGTGAGCAGGTTGATCCAGATTCTGTTCTCTTGGTGAGAAGAGAAATGTTTTAATATTGTGCCTACTGAAGGATCTTGACCTTATCTTAACATCCAAATTATGAAACTGCAACATGAAGGATTGAGAAGTTTCTTGTTGTAAGAATACGGTGGTGCAGTGGTTAGCATTGGGTGGGGTAGCCCTTCTTACAGAGGTTGCATGTTCTTGGTTCAGCTTGGGTTTTCTCTGGGTACTCCGGCTTCCTCCCACAATCCAAAGACATGCAGGTTAGGTTACTTGGTGACTCTAAATTGCCCGTAGATGTGAATGGTTGTCTGTCTCTATGTGTCAGCCCTGTGATAGGCTGGCAGCCTGTCCAAGGTGTACCCTGCCTCTTGCCCAATGTCAGCTGGGATAGGCTCCAGCCCCCCCACGACCCTCAAGAGGATGAATGAATGATTGACAGAATAACAGAGTTCATACTGCTGGTTCACATTTTATTGGGTGTCTGAGAGAATCCAAGCTGTGTTCAGTCTAGTTTTTGGACGTGTTATCGGTTTCGCACAGATGATGCATGTCAACATCCACAGGTGTGTTATACATGTCAGGTGTAGCTCCAGTGCAACTAACACAGTAGCGAAGGCAGAAATGACAGGATGCGGCGGCAGAATCAGACATCGGACTTTTAATTCAAAGTCTAACCTTTCAATATTCATAATGCGCCAATGTTTTATTCTCTTAAAAGTGGAGGGAAGATTTTCTCGGTGAAGAGACTGGGTCTTTGAATAGAAGGTGCCTGAGGGCTTGATAACTTCAGAACCTCAGATTCACAGCAGCCCGTCCTCACATGCTTTCTGACATGGTTGGAGGTGAAAACAAGACAGTTCAGGACTTGTTTCGATATTCTTTACCAAAAAGAGACTCTATAACTTGTTTGTCTCATAGACATTATGTTTAACCTCTTTCTTAACTGGAGAATCTGGTGCCCTGCTCTATTATAAAGGCACAATATTTTTCCTGTAACTGTTGTCATTTTGTCCCTGCACAGGTTGTTATCATTGTTATCACCATCAGTCACATTAACACTCGGTGTGCTTTTGGCTCCTCTGCAGGTATCAACAAAGGAAGCTGTTTTCGGATCAATCATTTTCCAGAGGATAACGACTACGATACAGACAGCTCAGAGTACATCTTACGTAAGTCGCTGCAACCTCTTCATCTTCAAACACTTAAACCCTTAATCCTCTGTCTCTTTTCTTGGAGTGGTGATGGAGTTATCACAAGGGTACTTAATGTGTCATGACATCTCTATCCCTCCCCCATAAAAGCCTGATGTCATAACAGTAATTGGAGCAATGGAGATGATGAAGTGTGTTGTGTGCTGATGAGTAATTGGTCTAAAACATGACTTTACTCACGTAAGATCTCACGTCTGTCCAAAGTAGTTTGATGAGGATGCACACTGGTCTCGCAGTTCAATCCATCTATCCATATTGCTTGAGGTTTCAGATCAGCTTCACTCTGCATGTCACATTCTAGTTTGCCCTATGCCCCAAAGCAACTGATTCAGTCTTACAACGTCTTACAACACCCTGTTGTCTAAAATGATGAATTTCATTACGCTCATGGACTCACTTGGTTAGCGTCACAGAAAGGCAGGGACGTCTGCTAATCAGGCTTTAGTGTCTGTGGAAGTATTCATCTGACGAACCTGAGGCAGTTTTTCCTCGTCTTTCACTCACTTTATTGCTGCACTTATGGCAGAGTTACTGCATGCATCAACCAGGAGTGCCATATTTTGTTATTTTTAGGACAACTTAAAGGGACAGCTCATCCCGAAATCAAAAATACATGTTTCCTCTTATCTGTTGTGCTATTATCAATCTAGATTGTTTTAGTGTGATTGGCAAAGATATTGGCCTTCTCTCAATGGCACTCAGCTTGTGATGCTCAAAGCCGCCAAAATAAATAGATTAAAAGATAACCCAAAGACCTTGTTGTGAGCAGTTTTACGTGGGCACTATTTTCTTTTTACTGAACTACACTCGCCGACCGTATCGCCTTGCAGAGGAGAGCAAACATCTACTCATGGACAAGAGGCTCACGCTTGTGACACTGTGAGGTTTAAACATTATTTCCGTTCTCCTCAGCTGAGCAGTAATGTTAGCTAACTCAGTGGTGCTATGAGCTAGCAGAAGATGCACGCTTCTTTTTGCGCAGTGATACGGTTTGTAGGTGTAGTTTTGTAGAAAGAAAATAGTTCCTACATGAAACTGCCAATGACAAGGTCTGTGGATTATATTGAGATTAACTTTGAGCACAAGTTTCATCTAGTTACATCATATTCGACAGAAGGCAGACATCTCTACGGCCAATACCTCCAACACTCTGCGGCTCACACCTAGATTGATTACATATAAAAGCCTTACAGGTAAAAGGGAAAATGTGTATCTGCTGTTTGCCTCCATAGGGTTTAAGGGATCAGAAAACCCAAATTTACTATATTCTATGTTTTATAATGTTAGTGTGAGAATTCTTCTGCTAGACACATGTGACATTTATATTACATGTGTGCAGCCTTCTTGTTAACAACAGAAGTTCAGTTTACATTCATGTTACTCACCAAACTCCTTTTTTGTCTTCTTGGCCTTTAAGAAATGTGCTGAATGCATCCTTCCTCACAGGACATATGCAGAGTTTATGTTTTAAGTATTTTGGATCCCTCATTGTTTACATCTGTGGATGTTGACTAGCAGCTTTCTTCTTCCCTGTCTTTCCTGGCACATTGCTGCATATGTTGACATGTTACAGCCACCTGTTGATCAATGAATATACAGGAATGTGTATCACATCCAGGTAGGGAAAATGGGGACCCACAAGAAAAGGTCAAACACTCCACAGGGAACCTTCAATATGATTAAACTGATCTAATCAATGATTTTGTATTAACAATGGATGAAATGACTATGTGTAATGTAAAAGGCATTTCTCTTAGTGTTGAACCCACACAGAGTTATCACCAGACTCTGCGGTTCGACTCAGTTCTACTCAGCATTTTAATGTCTTTAAGGTCATTGTTTTGGTTTTTACAACCTGCAACTTTACTGTTTTGGTTCCGTTTCAACGCTCTCATCAACCTTTTAATTCAATTTCAATACAATTTCAATTTTATTTATAAAGCCCAATATCACAAATCACAATTTGCCTCACAGGGCTTTACAGCATACGACATCCCTCTGTCCTTAGGACCATCTCAGTGGATAACGAAAAACTCCCCCAAAAAACCCTTTAACGGGTGAAAAAAACGGTAGAAACCTCAGAAAGAGCAACTGAGGAGGGATCCCTCTTCCAGGACGGACAGACGTCCAATAGATGTCGTACAGAACAGATCATCATAATAAATTAACAGTAATCCATATGACACAATGAGACAGAGAGAGAGACAGAGACAGAGAGAGATGCAGGACAGACAGTAATGACAGTAGCTTACAACAACATTAATGAAAGAAATAATATTATAATTATAGTTCTGGTTACTGTGGTACAATATGTTGAAAGTATATATTAATATCTGATAGTATATATGTATGACAATAGTCATATGTGTATAATAACAGTAGAAGTATGACTAATGACTAATGATGGCAGCAGCAGCAGGAGGCATCTGGCAGGACCACGGCAGCAGCACAACCACACACGTCACGCTGTCCAGGCACCGCTGTGATAGAAGTTAACCAATGAGACAGTGGAGCACAAAGGCTCCGGAGAAGAAGCCGAGTTAGTGACATCCAGAATGGCCGAGTTAGCTAGATGCAGTAATAGAATACGAGAGAGAGAGAGAGAGAGAAGGAGAGAAGGTGCCCGGTGTATTATAGGGGGGTCCTCCGGCAGACTAGGCCTAAGTCAGCCTAACTAGGGGCTGGTACAGGGCAAGCCTGAGCCGGCCCTAACTATAAGCTTTATCAAAGAGGAAAGTCTTAAGTCTAGTCTTAAATGTGGAGACGGTGTCTGCCTCCCGGACCGTAACAGGAAGATGATTCCACAGGAGAGGAGCCTGATAGCTGAAGGCTCTGGCTCCTGATCTACTTTTGGAGACTTTAGGGACCACGAGTAACCCTGCGTTCTCAGAGCGCAGTGTTCTGGTGGGATAATATGGCACTATGAGCTCTCTAAGATATGACGGAGCTTGACCATTTAGAGCTTTATAAGTTAACAGTAGGATTTTAAATTCAATTCTGGATTTTACAGGGAGCCAGTGCAGAGAAGCTAAAACAGGAGAAATATGATCTTGTTTCTTAGTTCCTGTTAGTACACGTGCTGCTGCATTCTGAATTAGCTGGAGAGTTTTTAAGGACTTACTAGAGCTACCTGATAATAGAGAGTTACAGTAATCCAGCCTTGAGGTAACAAAAGCGTGAATTCAGCAGCTGTTACAGCGAAAAAGATCACTGTACGCTATCTGCCCACTACCAGTGCTGGAGCAAGCTCATTTGGTGCCCTAGAGAAGTTTCCTCCACCCACACTCAACCCCCCATTTAAAAAAAGAAAAAAAGAAAAAAAAAAGTATATCATTTTCTTTTATGTTTGATTTTTTTGAATGTCTCCTTCCTCTTGGTGACACCCTGTCATTAACAAAATTGGCCAGTGTTTGGTGATCAAAGAGCATTTATCACCCAGAGGTCCAAAGATTAACCTCAGAGTTGATGAGACCAAAAGAGAGCTAAAAGACAAGTGAATGTTTACTGTATTATTATGTATTAATATGTCGGTGTTGTTTTTACAATTTGTTGTGCTGCCCCAAGTGGCCAAAAAGTATTACTGCAGATTTAAACACCTCATGACTAATGATAATAACAATGCATGTTGAATGAATGAACCTCATTATCTATTGCAAGTACTGTCAAAACTATTACTACTACAGTACTAGTGTCTTAAAATCAGCAATGTCATTTTTTCTACAGCTACAACTAATTCTACTTTTAACATGACTTTATTGACACATATAAATGCTGCTCAGCCTTTGTCACATAAATTAAAAGTGACGTATGTCTTAATTCCTATTTAAAAGAAGGCTTCACTGTCTCGTATGAACAGGTATAGTGCGTGCATCAAGCCTATTCCCCATCCTCAGTAACGTTCTGCTGATGTTGGGTGGCCTGTGTGTCGGGGTTGGACGCGTCTACAACAACAAGAACAACATCCTGCTCAGCGCTGGCATTCTGTTTGTGGCTGCAGGTAGGATGAGACTGACAGCACGCTACAGATAAACACACAGACTAGTGCAACAAAAAATAAATAGATTCTGTGCAGTGCCAGAGACAGAAAGAAGGAGAAGACAGACACAATACAAGAGGGTCTCCCTTTGGTGGCTGTGTTTCATGTCTTTCTTTTCAAGTTACCTCAACTTTTCCTTTATTTGTTGTGTTTTTACACAACACAACAAATAAAGCACGGATATCCAACACACTTGTAGCGCACCTTTCCTTCCCCTTGAATCTGTTGTTTCTCTCTAATTGGCGGTGATAAATAATTCTATGTGAATGTGCAAAGAAGCGTGACAGAAGGTGACAATGTGCAGGAAAGGTGTGACTGTTCAAGTTGTGTTTTGTTGACAATACCTCATTGTTTCATTAGGGGATTCTATCACTCATTAAGGAATAGAGCTAACTTGTGAAGATGATTTTCTCAGGTGATGTGCTGAAGATATACTGTAGGTGTAGAGTGTGTGTGAGCCTCTGGATAAACACTGTGCTGTAGTGTCATCTGTCGGCTTTATCATCCACTTATATGCTTAAACTTTAACATCCGTATGCTTTTTGTTCTCTCCTTGTCTCACCTCTCTTCTCCTCAGGCCTGAGCAACATCATCGGCATCATTGTCTACATCTCCAGCAATGCCGGAGATCCCAGTGACAAGAAAGACGAGGACAAGAAGAACCACTACAACTACGGCTGGTCCTTTTACTTTGGCGCCCTCTCCTTCATCGTGGCTGAAGCAGTGGGCGTCCTCGCGGTCAACATATATATTGAGAAAAACAAAGAGACACGCTTCCGAGCCCGGCGTGACTTCATCAAGACCACCTCCTCCTCTTCGCCATACTCACGCATCCCAAGTTACCGTTACAGACGAAGGCGCTCACACTCCAGTTCGAGGTCAAGTGACCCGTCCCGTGACCCCTCTCCAGTGGGGATGAAGATCGGTGGAGGAAGTGGTGGAACAGGAGGAGGAGGAGGAGGAGGAGGGTTGGGGATGGGTTTGCCAATGGGGGATATATCTCTGTACGCCCTCAGTAGGGACCCTCTGAAGGGCGGAAGTGCGACTGCAGGGCCCTACAGTCCAGAGAGGGACTCTGGGTTTTTACAAGTCCACAACTGCTTTCAGAAGGATGTGAAAGATGGAGTGAACAGGAGGACCACGCCGGTATGAGGTCAGGAGTGTATGACTGTGTAAAACAATAGGCTTGATGGAGCACATTAGATATTGTACAGCTGATGAGAAAGGACAACTCCTCCCCGGGGCTGTTCAGGCAGCGGCAATGTTGAAAGGTCAGGCCTCAAAATTGTTTTTCCATTGCGTCCCTCTGTGACAGAAAAGTGCCAATCTGTGTTGCATTTGGAGGAAGAGGGAAGGTGATATCAGAACAACTTTTTACGATATCTAAAATGTGACTGCAGACCGTTTGTAGCAACATTTGAAGAGTTTAATTCTAAAATATGATACCCACCATGTGTAAGTGACTTCTCCTCCTCCTCCTGAAAAATATCGTATATCTTCGGGTGTTCTTTAAAAGATAATTGCTTGATTAAATAATTAAGCTTTTATAGACTTGATGCTCAATATAATACAGATTCTGAATATTGAACTTCAGGTAATGATTTTTTGTATAGCATTTTGGAAAAGAACGTATTTCTTTTATTCTGAGACAAAAAGATGTTTGTCTCCAAAGTTGTTTGCTCAAATGAAGTGATTCATGTGATTGTTTGAGTATTATTGTATTGTATTTGTTTGTAACTTAACACAACTGGTGCTAACTTAATCTGTACACCTTTGATAGTCTTAAGCCTTCTCAACTGCCATTTAAATACTCCTACTGTATCTCAATAACCTCTCTCTTAAGCTTGTGTGAGTCAGGTGGTAAATATGTGTGCTGCGGTATGTGAAGTGTGTGTTATTGCTCTGAGACACTGCCACGCTATGACACATATGGATTTCTGTAGATATATAGCGACAAAAATGACAAGGCACACAGTAATGTTAGTACATTCCAGTATGCTGTGTGATATATCAGTGTAAACATTGTTTGTACAGACTGTGCCGTTTGCTCTCCATTCGCTCAGGGACGATGTATGGACACAAATGAATCTTACTTTTAGAGATGTAGAGCTTATCACGAGAGAGAACAAATATGTTTCAGTTGTTTTCCTTATCTAAGCCAGACAGACTGTTACTGTGTGTAAAAACAGAGGTGAGATCACGCTGTGTGTGTTGCTGTTAATTAACATGTGTCTGTACTGCCTTTGTGTTAAGAGGGTTTTTGATATATTTGTAGTCGATGCGGAACTTCTATTCAAAGTATTTCTGTAGTCTTATTGCCCCATATCAATTTGTTGTCATTATAATTTCAAAGGAATTGAGAGTTTGTGTTATGTGACGTCCTGAATTTGACAACTATCTTTGCATGACATTGAAAAATGGCATTATTATGGCAATGGATGGCTACATCTGTACACATATCCAGTTAATCTCATGATCTGTTCAGGGGTTAAAGGGTGAGTTTGGCATTTTTCAACTTGGTCCCTGTTTTTACATGTTTTTGTGTCTAACTGACTAATGGGAACAATTTTTGAAATTGGTCCAGTATTGAGTGAGAGCACTGCAGCCAGCAGCCGTGAAACAGAATGCAATGTAACCACTTGGGGGCAATTATGCACTGTGAATTTATGCTCAATCACAGTGCTTGTTTTTGCCTCTGACAGGCTCAGATTATTATTCTAAGTGTCTGAGAATATTGTTGAAAGGATTCCTTACAGAGATAGACCTTTTTGTGAAAGAGTAAGATCCTTTTTATTAACCAGAAACAGCCTCAGTTTGCTATCGTTAAATCCACCAGACTACATTTAAATATATAGTAATTTTAGTGAGTAGAGACCTAGAATATTTTCACATCTAACTGAGTTAATTAAGGTTTATTTCAACTAAACCAGAGTTAGTGATGTTGGACTAGTGGAAAGACAAAGTAAGATGGCTTTTGTGATTTTATTTTGTTTTTGTCTACTTTTGATAAAGTGTGTCTTACATTTTTAAAATGATTTAAATGGAGTCTGGTGGGTCTGGTGATAGTGATTTCAGGGCTGTTTCTCATTAAATAAACAGGATTTTATCCTTGATAAAAGCTTCTATCTCTGTAGGGTAATTTCCATAATGCTGTTGGGCACTTATATGAAAAATCTGAGCTCATCAGTGGCATAAACAAGCACATTTAGAAGATATAAACTGACCGTATGAACATGCCCTTAGTGTTTAGACTTAGACATAAATGGGAAAATAGGATCCAGCTAAGTCCAAATTTATCCTTTAGTGCAAAAAGTTGTTTTTTTTTGTATGTTAACAAGAAAATAATGACAATAAAGGAAACTGAACAACAGCAACATGAAACAGAAAATACATTTTGTCACATTACAATGAAAAAGGAGACTCGGGGGGAACAGGACAGATGACAGTCATTTTACATGCAATAAACAAATTGTGTTATATGGTTTAATTTTGTTGTGCAAGGTTTCTGTGATTTCGTCTAGAGTGGAGTGTTCTGTTGACAAATTGAGCCAGTGTTATATGATCGTTTTAGCCGCAGTTAATGCTATTAGTGTTGTGTGACATTAAGTGCAGAGAGGTTACCCAGGGGTGACATGGATGGACTCATGGGGATGCTGAGGCAGAATATCTGGGATAGCTTGCTCTTGACCTCCGACCAGTAAGATCAAAGCGTGCAGAGTGTGATGGCATCTGTTGCATGTGGACAGTTAGGGCATTTTGTAGTACCAGAGAATCCCATGAGGAAGAGTTGTCTTAGCCCTGTGAAGAACCTTTATTGCATTAATTGGGTTTTAGAATTGCAAGTGTTGGAAAATGTCTTGTCACATTCTACTTTGTCAATTTTGGGATTTTTGTGTGTTAAGTTCTGATATCAATGTAGGTACTGATACAGTGTTTTTGTGATGAGAAAAAATATACATATATATACATTTTGGGGGGCCTTCAGTGACTTTAATTATGGATAGGTGTATCATTATGGAAATACTGATGTTTAGTTTCTCCCTCTTTCAGCTGGTCAAAGGTCATGAACAAGCCGCCACTGAACAGGTGCCCCACCCAGGCTGACACCTCCCCTCTGCTCCCATGCTGTGAAGAACAAAAATAACCCTAACCCTTACCCTGACCCTGACCCTGACCCTCGGTCAGGACTCTTTCCATTCAGCCACATGCTCTGACTTTCATTACATCACATTAAATACCAGCTATCCTAAATAGTGACTGCTGAGGCTCAACTAATTACACTTAACTTCAGTTTTAGACTTGCTTGTGGTTTAATGCAAAAATATGAACGAAGAATTGGTCCACTGCATTTGTTTTTCTCTATAGAGGAAGTATTTAGCTAATGACGCGGGGCTGATGGGCCTGCTAGGCTCTGCTATGAAACTGTGTGGCAGACAGTCAGGCAACCACAGGGTGTTAAAGGAAATCGGCATCAGCCAACTTAATGCTTGACTGAACTAACAGGCTCCCAAATGCTCATCCAGACTTCAAAAAGCTTGTCTCCTTGTCTCCGAACAAAAGCCGGAGCAAAGCAAGCGTTGTGTGTGTGTGTGTGTGGAGGGTTAGTAAAAGTTCAAATTACTCATTCTTGGTATAGTACACGCTCGACTGGGTCCCATGTCAGCTCCATGGTTTGTTTCCCAGTTGAATATTTTTAGCAGCAGTTGGAATTGGCTTAATTTGGTTGTTGGTTAGTGAATCAGTGTCATGGCGGTTGCCATGCGTACTTAAATGACAGTGCCATGAGAGGGCATGTAGTTTGTGTGAAATCTCTCTCCCAGCTATTGTTGTCATTCAAGTCACTGACGTGGACAAGGGGAAGCCTCGAATTAGAATTGACTTATTTTCATTCTGCGTGTGTCTGATGTATCTTTGTCATGCCAAACCAGTCTGATGACCTTGTTTTCCATTCCAGCCCTGAATTTGAGCAATTCCTCTTCACCCCGTCCTCTGTCCATCACCCAGGCTGTTAAGCCCCATGCATTTGAATGCCATGGACCCTCACTGGTATTTTCATCCACAATAAAGCTGCGCCTCCACTCCCTCCTGTCGTGCGCCAGCAAAATGTCTCCTCCAGTAATTGAGAGGAAAATGGCAGGGTCACCTCTCCATGCAGTCACAAAAGTAGCCAACGTGCTTGTTAGCATCGGTACCTTGCTGTGCAGGGCGGATAAAATAACGCTTTGGGATCTCAACTCAGGTTCTGCCTTTGTAACTTGATTTGCTGGCATGACAAATGGTTCAGCACCCTTCATGGTTCACACTTCAGCTATGTTTATACTGAACCTGATACACCCGACGCCATAACAAAGCATTTACAGCCAGCAATGATTTCTTTAAAAAGCACTTTAACAGCTGTAATTTTAGTCGAAGATATTTTGAATTTAATTATAGGTCATACGTCTCCTCTTGTAGGAGGAATGATTTGTGGTCATTGCTGAACAATATAATTACAAGTACAATTTGCAGGTGTAAGTGTTACAACAATTCATTACAAATCTGGCATACATTTGTATAAAACAGAGCCATTAACCTGACATTAGATTTTCTGTCATTAAATAATGACTTGTTGACCTCATTTTAAGCCCTCTTGACGATATTTGTGCACACAGAGATAAGATCTTTATCAAACACAGGACAAAAACAACATATTTTTCTTTTCTAAAACCACAGTGTCTGACTAGTATAATGTCATTAACTGTCGCCAGTGGTGAGAGCAACATTGAACACCATGTTGCTGCTTGGAGAGCCATTTTATTCATTCATATGAGGGAATAACTGTTAACATGTTAATTTAATATTTTGAGATCTTCACACTGTTTATTTGCACACCACGTATTTAGAGGTGACAGGATGGATGTTAAAGCCCGATGTGATTTCCTCCTGAGTGATCCCATCTCCGCAGGCAGCGCCCTCTCCTCCCTTTGAAAATTTAAAGTGGCTGAGATTTCTCCCAGCAAGTGGGCTTGATTCCTCGCTCCCTGTTGATATATCGGTGCCATACTGTCGATCCAGGAACCGCAGGTGTCCATTACCATGACATCTGTCACTGTGCTAAGACTGGATTTAGCCGGCAGAAGTTAGAGCTTAACCTTTTTTTATCCTCTGTGGCACATGAAAAACAGCAGACCATCATGGCTGTAATTTTTGCAATGTTTGCAGAAATGCAGCATATCTGAGAACAAGCAGAAATCACCTGCTTTAAACCTGTGAATATGACCTAATCAGCTCTTTCAACACGTTTGACAGGAGGTGAGAATAAGTCCTCAGGTGACATGACGACACAATGACAAGATGTCTTCTCCCCAGTAAACATTAACAAGGTTAAAAATATGAGGGCAATTAAATAAATCACTGGTGTGTATCAATGTTTTTTTTTTTTTTAGATTGGTTGAAAAAATATTAAATCTGCCTTTTTAAAATGGGTCAGGAGTTGACAGCTAAGCCATACTTAATGTGGAATATTATCCAACAAAGAGAAATGTTCTCCCCTCATCCTAAAATGGCCCTAAATCAATACTACCCTACTTCCTTGTTTTAAAGCGGTACAGTGAAGCAGCAGTGTTGTGTGTGTTTGGCAAACCTCACCCCAAAAGTTCCTGTACTTTCAGAAAATACTACCCTCTAATCAGGGACTTTTTGGGAGGTAAAAAGTAGTCATTTAGATCCTGGTCCCAGCAGCCGATATGCAATGAGATCTTGATCATGGGGAAAGTTTCTGCTGTCAAAAAGGGGCTCATGATATCAGGAGAATCAGATGGTTATAATAAAGGATTTCGAAATGGTGGTGAAAAAAGAATCAGAATTTTAAAGTCATAGCTGTGAGATTGGTACACAGAGATTTTTGGTGTGTTCTTTTAGTCGTTTTATCTTTAATTGTGCTTCATACACCTTCAACCCTCTATGGTCTGCGTGTCTGTTTCAGTTGAGGGCTTGTATTATGGGTGAAATGGCAACATATATAATTAATGTATATTATACGATACTACAGAGCCTGTAAATACAAAGTGTCTAATTATTTCCATGAAAGGTTTGTAATGTATCATTTTGCTGATAAATTACTCTGAAATAAAAAAAGAGTGACTGGAAATTGAACATCTGTTTGATTTTTCTTTCAAGACAAAGTTTGCTCACGGTGTTTTATCAAGTTTATGAAGTAAGCCCTTTGTATATTTTAAGCACATTCATTAACATTTACACTTACTGTGATTATGGATATGTTTGTTTTGTTGTTGTGGTAACTGGTCAGGCAAGTCAAGTGTATTTGTATTGGCCAAAGCAACCCTTATTAACCCTGACGCTACGACAGCACACGTCTCTAAGAAGAAAAGGAAAAACACCAACAAACTCTGAGAACATGGGATAAAAGATTGGGTACAATTTAAGGTCGTATAGTAGCTGCAGCAGAAACTAGTTGGTGGTTGGATGGTTGCATTCCACTGTGCTCCATTATGTTCACATTGAGATAACACATGAGAGCAAAATTCATACTTACGCAATAAGGATTAACCCAAGAC